GTACTATCAATCCTGATAATTATGTTCTCATTGATCCAGAAACGAAAAAGCCTTCTGAAAAATGTCTTCAAGGTGCTTTAGGTTGCTATTTTGTAGATTAGGATGGGCATACAAATCATCTTGAAAGAATCTTTCATGCTACTAAATATAAACCATATTTAGATATAGTCAAGCTAGATAAAATACCAATGCCCACTCCCATCAGCTCACGTATATTTAATAAGATTGAGAAGATAAATCCAGATATCTCCATCAGTGTCTGAAAATGGAAAGAAGAAACAGCTATACCAAAACCTGTGATAGCTAGTAAAAACTTTAAAAGAAAATATAAAATTCGTCTATTAGCCCTTACGGATATTACTAAAAATGACGAAATAGGTAAATATGAGCAAAAGAAACATTTCCTCTGGATCAAGAATATTAACAGATTAATTTCCAAAGATACTGCCCATAATGGTAAGAAGTATTTATGTGATAGATGTACTATAAGCTGGCCTTCTGAAAAGTCTCTAGAACATCATTTAGAATGGTGTTCAGAAATATATGAAAATGCCTCTCAAAGAGTCATAATGTCAGTGAAAGAAGTTAATGATTACGAGAAGTTCAAAAACTATGGTTGAATGATCAATGCTTCATGTGTTATTACAGCTGACTTTGAGGGTGATAATAAGAAATGTAATAAGACATATAATGGAAGTATGATTAAACTCACTGAGCAGAAGGCTAACAGTTTCTGCTATTTGGTTCACTGGATCAATACTGGAGATGTTTGGGGTCTGTTCCTATATAGGGGAGAAAATGTCACACAAGAATTCATTCGAAGAATCGATCAAGAGCTGATCAAAATCAATGAAATCCTAGCTATCAAACGTGAGCGAATTGAGACCGAAGAACACAAGAAAAATTTCTCAAAGGTACGGATCTGTAAAGGTAAGTTTGATATATATATAGATGAAATTGGGCACTTAGAAAATAAAATAATCTATCTTCAAGAAAAACTAAAAAGCTTTAAAAAAGAGTCAACAGAATATAATGACATCGAAACAACTATTGATAAAGTGACTAAGGCAATTGCTAGTAAAAAAGCTAAAACCAATAAAATCTGGATCATTGTCATATTACAGGTAAGTTTCATGGATCAGCTTATAGGGATTGTAATCTCAAACTCCAAATACAGGATTGGAAGACTCCAATTCCGGTTATATTTCACAACTTTCGAGGCTATAACTCTCACTTGCTTTGTAAGTCTGTTGGGCGATTAGCTAATGCTCTTCATATCCAAGTTATAGCTGAAACATTTGAGCGATATAAGACTATGAAGGTAAGTCAACTCAAATATATAGATAGCATGCAGTTCATGAATAGTAGCTTGGCCAGCCTTACAAAAAATTTGGGTAACAACCATCCAATAACAAGCAAATATTTCAAAAAATTAAGTTATACAAAAGAGCAATTAGCATTAGTATATCGCAAAGGAGTTTATCCCTATAACTATATCGATTCTTATGATAGGTTTCAGGAGACAGAACTTCCTCCCATTCATGAATTTTATAGTACTCTTAAAGGT